AGTTTGCCGATATTTGACTCAATGAGCATTGCCCTTAAAGATTTGCATACATTTTGTGACTCTTTAATCCAGTCACAAAATGTATGCAAATGTTTAAGGACAATGCTCAAATAGACTTGTACATATTGCCATAGTTTTCTTATCACATGAAGACGCGATAACAATTTATACCATACATGTAAAGATATTATAAATTCTAATCTAAGCATTTCGAGATACTGAATCACAATCACTGAGAGTGTCTGATTGATCCGTTTGATTTTTCAAACTTTCTTTGCATCCTACAACATCATCAAATTGAAATAGTATGGACTTAACTGCCTCGATTCTGCTTTCCCATCTCGTGTCCTATATAGGCTTCATTGTAAGTTTTAATCTATCTTTGACGTTTGCTGGAACGAAAAAAGCAAATCCATTTTTTTGGATGAAATAAAAAAATGTTTTTGCTGTCACCGATGAATTAGGGAGCCTTGGTCCTCCGATGAAAGGGAGTTGAGCGAAGGGTTAACAACCCTTCCTTGTAGAACTCAATTGTTGCGAATACAATGGCTAATGAAACAAACGGACGGATCTCACAACGACGAACTCAGCACAGAAAAATGGACATGATTATGGATTTAAAATTTGGAAATTGGAACGTGCGAACCTTCTTAAAGGCAGGAGCTATGATAAGTATGGCAGAGGAACTTGAAAAATACGGAGTTGAAATATTGGCACTGCAGGAAATCAGATGGAAGAGCCACGAAAAAATTCATAAGAATAAATTCTCACCATACTACTCCGGAAATGAAATGAGACAAGGTGAAAGAGGAGTAGGGTTTATAGTAACCAAAAGACTGCGGAAAGCCATTATCGCATTTACACTAATATCAGATAGAATTTGCACAATAAGATTTAAAGGTAAATTTCATAACGTGACAATGGTTAATGTATATGCACCGACGGAAGAAACTGATGAAGAAGACGTTGAAAGATCTACGGAGAACTACAGCATATATGTGATAAAATCCAAAGACACGATGCTGTTATAACGTTAGGCGATTTTAATGCTAAACTGGGGAAAGAAGAAACGTTTGCAAATATATTTGGGAAACACAGTTTGCACACTGATACCAGTCAAAATGGACTCAGGGTGGCACAGTTCGCAGCAGCAAATAATTACGTAGTTGTCAGTACTAACTTCCAGAGAAAAGATATCCATAAAGGAACATGGAAAATACCAGGAACTAACGAAGCCAATCAAGTTGACCATATACTCATCTCAAAAAGATGGGCAACAGACATAACTAATGTCAGAACGTATCGCGGGGCGAACTCTGACTCAGATCACTATCTTGTAGGGGCAAAATTACGGCAGAAAATAGCGACAGTAGCAAAAGGGAAAAATATTCAAATAAAAAAATGGAATGTCGAAGGATTCAAAAGCGCAACAAAGAGACAAGATTACAGAAATGCTCTCCAAATAAAACTCAACCAAACTAGAAAGGAAGATACTGCAGAGGAGGAATGGAGACAATTAAAAACAAGTATAACGGAGTCAGCAGAGGAAACTGTCGGAAAAGCCAAAAGGCAAAGAAATGCGGAATGGTATAATGATGAATGCAGAACTACAGTAGAGGAAAAAAGGCAAGCTAGGCTTAACCAACTTCAAAGAAACACAAGAAATAGCAGTGAGATTTATAATGAAAAAAGAATACAAGCGACTAGAATATTCAGAAGAAAGAAAAGAGAGGCTATGAAAAAACAAGTACAAGAAATCGTAAAGCATAACAACAGACGCGAAAGCAGAAAATTCTATAAATGCATAAAAGAAAGCTCACAGTCATTTAGACCAAAACTAACGATATGCAAAGACAAGGACGGAGAACTACTAACAGAGAAGCAAAAAATTATAATGAGATGGAAACAATATTTCGAAGAAAATCTAAACTCAGACAACGAAAATGATCAGAACGAGACAATATATTATACGGCGGAGCTGCACATCGAAAATCCGAGTTATGAAGAAGTAGTTCAGATAATAAATAAACTAAAAAACAATAAAGCACCAGGAACGGACAGAATTTCAGCAGACTTATTAAAGCATGGAGGATCCGAACTCTGGGAAAGAATCCTTTACCTAATAACATTAATATGGACGAAGGAGCAAATGCCAGAGGAATGGACAGTTGGCCTCATACAGCCAATATATAAAAAAGGAGATAAGAGGGAATGCCAGAATTATAGGCCAATTACATTGCTAAATGTAATATACAAAATTCTTTCTGGTATAATCTACAATAGATTATGAGAATACTCCGAAAATATAATTGGTGATTATCAAATTGGATTCAGATCAAATAGAGCCACCACAGATAACATATTCATACTAAGAACGATACAAGAAAAAGCTTATGAATACGACATAGACCTATATAATATGTATATAGACTTTAAACAAGCATTTGATAGTGTGAAAAGAGACAGAATGCTGGAAGATCTTTGTAATCTAGGTATACCTAAGAAATACATCAGCCTCATAAAAATGACGTTGCAGGGTTCAAAAGCCGCAGTCAGAGTAGATGGAGAACTAACTCCCCTGTTTAACATCAACATGGGAGTAAGACAGGGAGATGCCCTATCAACCATGCTATTCAACCTAGTTCTTGAGGCAGTCATTAGAAAAACCAATATAACCGGCCATATAAAGACCAAATCAGTACAAATTACTGCATATGCAGACGATGTAGCCATCATTAGTAGGAATAAGCCACGACTAATGGAAGTGTTCAAACAAATTGATCCTGAAGCGAGAAAAAGAGTTCTCAAAATAAACGAAGCAAAAACGAAGTATATGACAGTCAAAAGAATAACTGACAATGAAAATAATATCACAATAGACAACTATACTATCGAACGAGTGGATGCCTTTACATATCTCGGCACAGAAATCAATCAGAAGAACTCCGTAAGTAGCGCAATTAATGCACGTATTTCCAGCGGGAATCGTACATACTATGCTAATAAAAGATTGATGACATCGAAATTATTAGACAAAAGAACCAAAAAGGCTATCTACAGAACACTGATTAGACCCGTAGTAACCTATGGATGTGAAACTTGGTTAATGACGAAAAAAGATGAAGCCCAACTCAGGACATTCGAGAGAAAAATACTGAGGAAAGTATATGGCCCGGTACAAGAGGAAGATGGCACATCGAGAATCAGGAGAAACGACGAGGTTAATGAGTTAAATGAAGGTTATGACATTGTAAGATTTGTAAAAAGTCAAAGACTGTCATGGCTGGGGCATGCGCAGAGACAAAACGATGCAAAAACAACAAAGAAAATGTTACAATGGAAGCCCATAGGAAGGCGAAAAAAAGGAAGGCCCAGAACGAGATGGTTCGATGACGTGGAAGAAGACCTGAAAACAATGAACATAAGACAATGGAGAAGAAAGGCACAAGAGAGATCTGAATGGAAGGACATAGCCAGACAGACAAAGACCCATCCAGGGTTATAATGCCAAAAGAAGAAGAAGAAGAAGATCACAGATATTTGGCATCAACTTTTCAGGCTGTTACTTCGAAGAGAGAAAACTAAACTACTAAAACTCCTTTGTTGTGCTATCTGTTTTTGTGTACTAACACGATTATATCCACTTTATTAATATCTTACAAACAGTATTGCATATTACCATGAGCAAAGTCAAATGCAATACTAAGAAATGTGCTGGCAAATACATTGATATGTAAGCTAAAAGTAAAGAAAGAAGAAGTAGAAGGGTCAATTATAATTTATTTGGGAAATGACCAATGTAACGATGATGACGGTGATTCTATCTATTCCGAAGACAACAATCATTATTTACATACTTATGTAATAAATGTATGTGCTTTTACACACTTTTTTTATAGAAATTCTAGCATACTCATTTGCATTGTACGTTTTATTATATCTATTTGAAGTTTATCGGGATTTTCATATTACATACAAAATTAAGATAATAAGTTATCAATAATTATATTTTTTCTGCGTTGAATACTCCTGTATATAGACCGATATAATTTGCACTATCATACATTTCCAAATCGAGTGTACCTTAAATTTAGGATAGAGGTAGAAGGATGAAATTAATCTAACGATAAGAGAGAAGAAAAAATATAAAAATAAATGAAGGCAACATCATTGACAATTTTATTGTTTATGATCCGTAAATAACTTAAGCTCAAAACATATTTTTTCAAATAAACGTATCCTCATGTTTATATTTACTTAAAAAAGCATAAAATGACTAGGTATATAATGAATTAATTATTTATGAAAATTATCACCTATTTTACCTTGGATTTTTACCAATATAAAATTTGTAGTGTAGTAAATTTTAGTTTTATAAATTTATTTTGACAAATTGAAAATTGTGCACATAAATAATGTAGAAAAAAATGTCAATTTTTTTTATTTTGGCTTTGTATTTATTTTTTTGGTCTTATTTGGGTTTTATTCCCAGCGGCTTTTTCATAGAAAATTACCTAACAGTCGTCCCGACCTCGATAGGGGAACATACAACCCCGTTAACCATCGGCAATGTCCCATTGTTCGAATTTCAAATCAAATCCAATACGGTTGGTCGAATGCAGTTGCAGACGTCCTTTCTATTCATAAATTTGGCGAAATTTGGGGTGTTTGTCCTTCTACGTTGGCAGCGCTGCACTCATAATGGAGGTTCGCATATCCTCTACCAGACGGCGCGAGAGAGCCGCGACATTTTACATGGTTATTGACTGACTGGTGCTGTTCTGTTGTAAATATTGTTTTTTTCGGTGTGTCGAAAACTGTGTGTGATTTTAAGTGTATGGTGCGTGTGTGTGACTGTGTACAATGTTCAGAAAACCCGCAGGTTAATGGAAACCTACGTGAACACAGTGAAAAATCCGCCATAGGTCGAATAGCCTGTGGTAAATGTGTAAGCTATGTCGGCGGAGGGCCACCCTACAGGCGGCTGTAATGTCTAAGCCATGGATGTCGAAGTGAAACAGAGAAATAGGCGGAGAAAACGCGCCCAGCGTATGCAGGCACAACGTGAGATCAACAAAGCTGACCATCTCGATGGAGACAGCGGCGACGAAGATGTCATTCAGGCGAAGCCCCCGAGGCCCCCCAATCGAAGAAAAAAATCCAAAGAACCCCTCTGCGAAGAGGATATCGTCGAAGGATTCTCTATACTCCAGTTCCGTAGCTACGAAGACTTAGAAGTAAGTGTTTGAACATCTATTTAACGTATTTTATTTAAATAATCAAAACAATTACATGAACTGACAGTTAACCCCAAAAACATCAATTAATACCCCGTGGATTAAAACAAAATAAAGAAAGTTAAAATCATTACAGTTTTTTAAGAGGTTTCTTTGTTGTTGCCGTTACACAACAAGTCAGAAACATTTTGTTTTTTCACTTCATTATAGCTCAACTTTTACTCTTACCCGTCGATAAACATTTGAAACAGAAAGAGCAAAATTTGGTTAAGTAAATGTTTCGAAAGTTGTAACAACAAACGCATGCTTTTTAGAATTATTTACATATGTTTAATAAGTAAAATAATACAAACTAACTTTTCCCAATACATTAGTTTTATCTTTTTATTTTATTATTACTCTAATTGTTGTTCTAATAATGTACTACACCTCAAGTTATCTAATTTTAAAAGACATCAGACCTGATTACCTGATATTTCTCAAATATGGAAGTTTTTGCTAAAATATTAGGTTATTTCTAAGTCTTTTATGTTAAGCTCCTAGCATATTTTTAATTGCTTGATGTTGTCTTTGATTTGCTCTCTCTTGTTCTTTATCTGGTTACAGTTTCATCCATGTATCTTAAAAGTTATCTATCTTATATAGCACTAATAATACCTAGTTATATCCCACTATAATGGGCTTTCTCAGTCCTATTTTGTTATATTCTTGTCATTATTTAGTACCTTTATTTCTTTCCATTATTTTCATTCATTTCTTTTAATTATTGTTCTAATGTTTTAATAACTGTGACAGTATTCTTGTTTCTCTATTACAAGATATTACCAAGCTTTTTGGTGTTTTCAATGGGCTCTTATTTGACTTCCTTTGAAATCACTTTTATTTCAAATTATCCTCATAATTTTTTTATGTTGTTTCTGTAGTGTTTGCTATTAGTGGCATTATTGAGGTGCTAGTTTCTCTTGCAAAATTAGTTTTGAAACCAGTTTATTGCAATAAAGTCTAGACCATTTCTATATATCTTTTCTTTTCATTCTTGTTCACTTTAACATTTTGGCAAGCTTCCAAGGAATTCAATTTAATATTTTCACTAAACTGTTTTATTTCTTTGTGTATTGTTATCTTATTTATAACTGCTCTATTTATTTCTTCTTCTACCTTTCTTTCTAGTTTTCTGCTTATAATATGTCACTAATTTATATTAATAAGAGAAAGAAGCCAGAAGAAAGTTGGATTATAAAAATATTTGTTTTTATAACTGTTTGATGCCATTGCTGCTGTAGCCTTTACTATGACAGGCATTAATGAGATTGATGTTATGTATATTCTTCATTTCCTTCCCCTGCTTAATTTGTTTCAATGGCAGTTGATTACAATCAAATCTAGATCTTCTCATTTAATTTTTGTTAAATTTAGCATTTTGGCAAGCTTCCAAGTAATAAAATTTAATGTTTTCACTTAAGTGTACTACTTCTATGCAAATTGTTTTCTTATTTAGAACTCATCTCTTAATTTGTACTTACTCCTAAATTTCTAGCTTTTCTACTTATACATAACATCTCTATTTTTTATTATTAAAGTATCTCAAAAAAAGTTAAGATAGAAAAATCATTGATGTTTTGACTGATGTATTTCTCCATTTTTTGTTTTGTAGTCATTGTTACTTTTTATATTTTTCATTGAAATCTTTTTTAATTTTCGAAATCTTCCACTTATTAACTAAGTATGTATTATTTAGAAATCCTAACCTAAAAATGAAATACATTACATACTACAAAAATGATGACTGCATCTTTACATAGTCTTCATCATTTTGAAATCAGCAATTTACAACATCTAGTAATTATCTAGTCTTAAAGAATTTGCAAATTATCTCTTAAACATAACATCTTAAATGAAATTACTTTCTCTCTCAAATTGCTCATAACTTTCTTAAGTTTTTTCTACATTAGGTGAAGGGTGAAGGAACCTTACTTAATTTCATATTTTGTTGTCTTCTAAATTGCTACAATGTTGCATTTGGGAAGTCTTTAATTGTTTCTTGTTGTTCTAATTTAGTTGTATTCATCAGATAATATATATTTGATTTTTCTTATAATTCCAACACAAATTACCACTTTTAGATGGTGAAATTTAAAATAGGAATAACCTAAAATGATTTAAAAAAATATTTGGATAAATTATTTTTTGTTTTTAGTCACAAAAAATACATAAAAGTTCCATGTATGATCTTTTCTATGCTATTGTATTTATTGAACTCATATACTGTCTAAAGTATAAATGGTTAGTTTGAATTTTGGCTTTCACCATTCAAAACATTGTTATTACCGGAATTATTGAAAAATTTTTTCAGTTGTTTTCTTGAAGAAGTTATTTATGAAAAGGAATATTGCTTATCTTCTGCCACCTTTAATGTCATAATTTCAATGTATTCATATTATTTAGAGTATCAGCTTTATTTGCTTCTCATTGTTTTAGTACATTTCGCATATTCACCATGTTATTAAAAATCTCACCTTAATTTACTTGGTACATTTTACTAATTTTTAAATATAAAAATACAAAATAATTTAATAAATTATTAAATAGTTTCTGGTGTGAGCACATATTCATGAATGCTGAGGGAAAAGGTCTTATACTCATAATTCGTAATAGGTTTTTATTAAAACTAAAATTAGGCAACCAGTTTCGCTGTTTACAAACTTTTACAGCATTTTCAGGCCACCAAGAAACTAAAGGCTAAAATAGATGGTATATGTAAACAAATGTGTATACAACAAACAATTTTTTTGAGTAGTACAGCAAGGAATTAATTAGTAGTCAATTATATAAAAAACAAAGTGCGTTTCAAATGGACCGGCTTAACTCTGATGTTGACTGGTGCATCAGTTGAACAAGTAATTTTATGTGCAATAATATAATAATACTTACATATCAGTACAAGAAATTGTCTCAATTGAATCGAGCAAATTGTACAAATATTTATATATTTATTCATATCCATCCATTTCAGATCTTTATTAATATTAACGTAATTATTGATTTCTTTAAATAACATCCCAAATTCTGCTTGATTAGTTTTGATTTGGCTAATATATGTCATTGAGATCTTAAATATCAATTTTTTATAATGAATGTCTTGATTTTTGACAATGCATTAATGGGTTAATAAAGCTAATCAGCTCCAGGTAATGAAATTAATTGCTGTACTTGATATGATGTATAAACTAGTATAAGTATAAAAACATTTTAAAACTCTCATTATTTTTGAACTAATTGTGGAAAACATTAGTCTTTTGGCCTCTTCTTTGGTAGTTAAGTAATATCTCTTTAATAATCTTAAAGTTATAAATGTGCACATACACATAAAATTTTTCTAGAACAAGTTTTGGTAGGGCATGTTCTATTTGCAGCTGTTAAGCAATTAAGTTTTTCTCTTAACTATCATGCAAGGTGTGACTAAAATAATTATTAAATTCTGTAAATTTCAGTTTATTTAATAGATAATCAGCTGTTTTACCAGCATGAAAACTTTCTACTGAAATGTAGAAATTTAATAAATAAATATTTTGTTTTCAATCTGCATTATGTGATTTTATATGGTTAGGATTATAACTTCCATTGCATGTTATTCTTCAGCTGTCCAGTGTTGCCTAATCTTACAAATAGTAGATAGTGCAAGGAAATTTATAAATGATGCACTGCATAAGTACTGGACAGAAAATAAAAAATTGTTGAGGAATAATATAATTACAACAGAAATTTAGTATCAACTTTCAACAAAATTTTAAAATACTGTATTATAATGTAAGTTTAAATTAATATGTATTTCTGGCTGTTTTATGTCTATGCCTTTTCTCCATAATTATAAAATATTTTATGTAAGTCAGTCCTCTTTTACCTAATTTTCTAACAGAGATTCCCAATATCTACTTACTAATTTAATATTTAAATTAATAATTAGGAAAACTTTGTTATTGGTTTTGATTTGTAACCAGTGTGGTGGTTTGTTATGATATGATTGTTTTTTGTCCCAATTTTTGGTTAATATAGGATTAGTAAGTCTGTTTTTTTTGGTAGGTAGGTTTTAGTAGGCTTGTCCGATTCTTCTGTTATTTTATTGTTTTTTCTTCAGACAGTCAGGCTAATCTTCAGACTTTCAAGTCTTTTTGCACTTCCTGCTTGTTTATATTAATTTCTTTGTTTATGGTACAGGGACAGAGGAAGATGGCACAGGAAGGTTTAAAATTTAAACAATTTTTACAAATAAAGCCTATAAATCTATTAAGTTGTTTAAAATTATACCAAAGTTAGCAATAAGGTAGAATTATTATCTAAAAGTTACTTAATTAGGTATTTAAAAATTAGTTATCGATAACAGTAGGAGTATTGGAAAGAAAATTTGAATTTTTTTTATCAAAATGTATGTATCAAATAGATTAGAATCTTTTATATTTATGATATTTGGCAATATCCATTAGAATTAGATACTGTGAAAATGCTGAAAGGTTGATTTTTATTCCATAGAGATCACCTTTTAATGATAGACATCTGTCATGTGTCAACTCTCTTCCAGTTCCACAACCCTTTAATTTTAAATAGGGAATTGACCATATGTGGCACATCATTAGAAAGATATTTCGCTAGAGAATTCAGAAATTCATTTTTCTCTTTGTATTAACTCTGTTCTTGTGGAAAATATCAATTTATTAAGTGTTTTAAAAAGAAATTTGGAAAAAGTTTGTTTATTAGTAACGTTTAAAGCGATATTAATTAAGTATTTTTTAAATTCCTTCGAAGTGGTCTATTCTGTCACAGAATGCATTGAAACTATTTGCATATTTTTTAAAATGGGAAGTGCGCAAGAAGAACAGTGAAATTTTAACTAAATTTCATCAAGATAAGCGACTAATTAAATGTAGAAGTATATCTAGAATTGTTAGAAGACACAGTTGAATCCATTTTGACAGATATTATTCGAAAATGATAACAGGTACACACATGATTTTTTT